CTGCAGGTCTACTTTAGGTTCTAAGTCATGTGACAACATGCAGTCAATTAAAGTTTGGTGTAATATGTCATCTTGCATAGACTTACAAAGGGCTTTAATAATGTAAGCATAAAATGGAGGTAAAATTGGAGCAGTATCATGTACTGACACAGGCAAGGGAAATAAGCCTTACACCCGGTTTGGTACTCTCAGGCTGCAGAGTTCTCAGATCAGTGCAGCTCTGTGTCTCAGTCATACAAAAGCTGCAGGATAGCAGATTGACTCTTTCTGAATCTGTGTTTGTATTATCTGTCACATCCTTGGTAGATTCAAATGGAACTTTTTTTTTTCCTTATCTTCTGTCCTAACTGATTGTGTCCTCTCAAATCCCACCTGAGTGATTTGCTGTACAACCTGCCGGCAGCTCAGCGTTCAGGAAGTGTTCCATGGTTTGTTTGTATGGTTGTTTTTTTTTTAAGACTGATTCAGATAATAAACAGGACGTTTTCTTTTAACTTTTAAAGACAGAAAATTCCAGGCTAGGGCCCCTTTGAAGCCAAGTTTGCCTCTCTGCTGTGTTTAAGAAAGGACCAGTGGAGAAGGACAAGTAGACACAACTCCGGAAATCAGGAGAGCTGGGTTATGTTTTTACACAAGCCATTACTGTGAACATGATCCAACCCGAACTTCTCTCCCTATTCCTTGGCTTCCCATCTAGTCTTCATCTATCTTCATCTTTCAGATTGAACTTGGAGGCAGATGCCAATTCTCAAAACATGTACAGTGCCTGCTGCAGTAGTTGCCCAGTCACTTTTTGTGCCTGTAGGTACAGTTTTAACACTAATTACAGGTGGAAGTCTGTCACATCTATCATGCTAATATGAGTATTTACTTCGTGCAGGGTTTCTTGCCTCACCCAAATTCTGAAGGGTTAAAGCATTGTGTTGTTATTGCCAAGTTTAACAATGCTTCTTCTGCGAAAGTGTTCAGAGATTGATTTATCCGTGTTTAGATAGTGGTCACTTGATACAAGAGAATTCTAGTCTGCCAGACCTCTTGCCTTAAATATCCCTGTAGTTCTTACATAAAACGTCTCCTGGGCCATTAACAAGATTCCTTCAGTGAAAGGGACTTTGATTTCTCTGCTGGACTGTCATGCTTGAAGGTGGAGAGGTTCTGGCCCTGGTTTCTTTGTTTTTTCCCCCACCCTTTTTGGTTTTCGCATCTTTAACGATCTTTCTAATGTGAACTGTCTGGGATTCTCACCTTGCCTCCTTCAGAGGACACAGTGGTCAATGTAAGCATTGGTACTTAAGAACAGTGGAACTTGCTGTTGGCAGTCCTGTACAGGATGCAAAAGAAAAAATCGTATTGCATTAAAAAAAAAAATGTAAAATTAACAAATTTTCAGAGGCAGCTTTGGCTTCCAAATAGTATGAGTGCACTTGCACACTGATTTATAGATATATAGAAATAGATAAATAGAACTTAGGATTAATATACTGCAAGTATTTAAAACAGTATTTGCTAACTTGAATTCTCCATTTTGGACCACAGTGGGATACTGTTCCACAAACTGACACAATAAACTGCTGAATTCTTTGTTCATTTACTGGTACTGGAGCTGGAATTTACCTGCTTACATAAAAATGCCAGCTTGGTAAAGGCTGTGTAGCAGTTTTTACCTCCAAATAGATTTTTTTTCTTCCTTTTTTAAAGGAGAGTTTCAGCAATATTTATATTTTATAGGATACAGTACATTTAAAGTAAGTGTGAATTTTGTTCTCAATATTCTTAACCTTTTCTCATAGTAGTCGGGTATGGATTTTCTTTCACTGCTCATGCAGAGGTTGGATGGGGAATAGGACCAGCCTATAATGATAATAGGGTTAAAGTAGTCCTGGAACCATTTTCTCCCATTTATTCATTAGCTCCATGGTAATGCATGTCCCTACAAGTTTGGCTGTCTTCACAGCTGATGCAAGTCAGCACTCCATGGATAGACAGCACTCACCTGGAGTATGGTAGACCTCTTCCTACAGCCCCAGTAACTTGTCAGCCATTTGACATCTTGTATGATGTGCAGAGCAGCATTAATGACACCGCTTTGTACAGTTCTGGGAGTGGCAGCAAAATCAGTGGCTGCAAAATTCTTGTGGGTTGTTTTTCTTCTGTTTTTTTGGGTTTTTTTTTGACCAATTTGTGTTGGTTCCTCTTGTGCAATTACTTATGGAGAGAGATGCAGAAAGGGATTTCTCCCCCACTGAAAATGCATGTTGAGCTTTCCCTGGCCCTGACTCCTGCAGCATGCATCTCCTGTATGTAACACTTGAGTACCCCGAAGTAAGGAGGAACCTCTTCCTTAGGTTTTAAAGCAGAAACTTTGGCACTCTCTCACCCCAAGCTGGGCTAAGAACTATCAAACCTTGTTTAAGTGTTTTGATTTAAATATGTGTGTTAAAAGTGTCAGTGTACATCTCTTTCCCTTGCTTATTCTCATACCTGTTTTTCCCTCTTGGAAGCTTTGAATTATTATTTTTTTTTTCCTTCTACCAGAATATTAAACTAAACTGGATTTAAAACTTGTAAATGTTGAAGAACTGCTCTCCTGTAAAGAAACACTTTCTATTAGCTGAAAATATCCTACAAAACAATCTTAACTATTAAATAAATTTTCTAGTGCAAAACTGAAGCTGACTTAGTAGCAGCTAACTGTTGTTTGAATACAGTGCTTTAGAGCAGGCCTAGGAGGTGGGACTCAATAACAGGCTGACTTTCTATTGATCAGCTACCACACAGGACATTTTTAAATTGTAACTTGTTTTCTAAAACCCCCATTTGTCTTTTTCACAGCTAATATTTTCACAGTAAACACAGCCAAGCGTAAAAATATTAATGTACAAATTGTGAAATTCTCTTAATTCCCAACAAAATATTTTTGTATATAATAAAGATTTAATATTGAAAAACTACACTCTTTTTTGTTGGATTTTTTTTTTGTCTTTCTGTGACTTGTAGCTAACTAAGAGATGCTATCCACAGGCTGTGAAGCCTTACCAGGAAGAAAAGGCAAGCAGTGCTGTGGAATTCCCCTGCCCTCCTTCCAGATTGAAGGGCTGTGCTCCTGTGCTAAGCTCCAGGACTCAGCTACAGCTCAGAGGGTGGGAAATGAATGGCATTCAACATTTGAAACTAATTTCAAGGGGGTGAAAACAGGATGGAGATTCTCTCGTGAAAAAAAGGTGTTGGTCACAGTTCAGAAATGTGACTTTTTGGCTTTTGAATGCACCCATTCCGGATCCTATGCAGAGCACTCTGGGCCTCTTCAACCATCCTATAAATACCACTGCTAAAGTGGGGCTGCTTACTTTCTAATCACTACCCTATTAAGGGGGTCAGTCTCCTATGTTCACATTGTAATTCACCAGCATACATAAAGCTCCGGCAGCTGAGGCCAGCAGCACCACAAGGTGAGCACTCATTACTCGTTACATCAAGGCTGAGACTGCTGGAGACAAAAATAAAAAATAAATCAAAGAGACTGAAAAGCAACTGCTGACCTCACCTTCCCTTGTCCCGATGTGATTCTGAAATGCAAAGCTGAGGGGTCTTCCCCCTTCTGCAGAAGGCAAGTGTATCAGGAAGCAACAAGGGAGAGACAGCTGAGAGTGAAATGAAGCGCCAACCTCTCCTGAAGGACCCCAGTGCCCTCTTACCACCTCTGTTTTCTAGGGAAGACCCCAGCTAACCTTGAAGGAGTGCTTTCTGTACGAGGCCAGCCTGTCACAAGCAATCACTGCTTCAGCCAGGATGCGCTGAGTAGAATCTGAATTCATTTGGATCAGTGCAGCCAGGGTCCCTGAAGAGGCTCTCCTCATTTAGCTTAGGGAAGGGCAGAACAAAACTTAGATGGAGAGAGACTCATTGCTGCTGCTGCCTCTTTGGATTTACGTATCCCCAGCCTGAGCTATTTTGAATGTTCATGTGCAGAAAGATGCTACTTTCAGAAGGACAGAGAGCACATAAAAGGGCAGACCCACGCCTGGTGGCTGCCCTGTGCAACCAATGCCTTTTTTTGGTAACAGTTTCTATAGAATACCTGGGGGTCTTTTTCCTATGCAAACAAATCCCCTCATACATGTTCAGTACAGCCCACCAACCCTGAAAGCAGTTAAGTGCAGCACATACAAGGTTTACAACAAGAGTAAAATCAGGGTACATGGACAGCAGCACTACGTGGAGTCACACGCATCTTCTTGCTGTCTGCACGCACCAACTTTCAAAGCCAAGAAAAGGACTGGAATTGGAAAAAAGATGAATGGAAATCACGCAAATTGACTTTTAAAATTATTCTACTGTTCTGACATCCATGACATTAAATACAAAATTCTGATAAAACAATTACAGAGGCAACTTGCTTACGAGCAGTTGGCAAAAGCAAACCTTCCCATGTACAGACACACAACTCACACAAGCAGGGTAAGGTGCTCTCAGGGCATTTCCGTACGCACCAGTGCAGCGTTGGGCCAAAACCATCAGCTTCACTTCACACTCACATTATAAATGAGACACTGAAACACCACCACCTCAGTCTGAGCACCTCTCCTTCCAGGTGCCTAACTGTCAACCATCCCTCAGTGCTGGCTAAAAGCACCAAGAGCCTGCTTCATTGGAACAGCTTCCTGCATTTACAGTGATCTCTCCTGCACTTCTGTCCCATTTCCATGATCACAGAAAATTATGATCAAAAAAAGGCAGAACAGTTCAAAGCACAAAGTGCTTTGCATTAACTGTGCTATAAAGCTCTGCTGTTAGTGAAAGACACAAGCAAAACACTGGAAGTGTCACATGGGTAAAATGATTGCTTTGTGGAGTGCAGCAAGGACTTCTGCTATGCACATACCAGAAGGCATCACCGTATCTCAAAGAGAAAGTTCAAAATACAATGTAAGCAGCTGAAACTTGCTAAGCTTAGTAAAAACTTATTGGAAAAGAGGTAGAAATCCCTAAGGTGGTCTCAGTTTTGGAAAAAAAAAAAAAAAAAAAAGAGTTCATTATTTCCTGCAGCGTGCAGCTCACATCCATAAAGCCAAACTACACTTAATGAAGAAAAACCTAATGAAGTGCCCTCCACTTCACATCCTCCAGAGTGAAGGTATTCTGCACGTCAGGTCTTGAGTGAGCAAAGCACGAACTGCATTGCACAATGCTACATTTCCACAGCCTTTTTGCTCGCTTGCTTACAAAAAGCAGTTTGTACTTTGCAGTTTTCTCCCACGCATATTAATGCAAGCAATCAGGCTTCCACTGCTCTGCAGTTCTGACAACTATCAGAATAGCTATGTTCAATTTCTCTTCCAGGCTCATCTTTTTTTTCCTTCTTCCCCTGCATCCCTTATTTACTTATTTATGTATTTTCCACTGCAGACAAACCTTAGTGGAGCTGCAGAGCAGCAGTGTGCTCACTCCTTGCCTGTGCTGCCCTGTGCCACCTGGCTTCAGTGCCCTGAAAACTCAACCCCAGGGCTCTCACATGCTCACAAGCATCTGCGCTACGCTGCAAAGCTACACAAGGAAGAACAGGGAGGGCAGTAAGTGCTCAAAAAAGCTCCTCTACAGCCCCACTCAAACTGTGAAGCCCGCAAAGCGCAACATAAAGAACAAGTGGGAAGAATCTGGGTTCTCTCATAGTTACAGCTTTTACAGAAGACTCTGTCTTCTCCAAATTAATGTTCGTTGAAGCAAAAAGCCTTTGCACGACATCAAATCTTCCTCTGTCAGTGAGAGTTGCCACCAAAGGACTGCTCAGTGCCAAGGTGCCATCAGCTGAAGCGATGTAAGGCTGTATTTATGAGAGAGAGAAAAAGAGAAACAAAGACATTAAAAAGGCCTTTCAAGCAGTGCTGTTTGGTGTCACACAGCTTAGTTCTTTCTTACAAAGCCACTGGAGAGTGTACAAGGCAGTGTAAAAGGGAAAGATTCCCTGTTCCATCAGCCTTGACAAGTACAACGTACTCATCCCCAACCAAAGCTCACCTCCCACAGTTATGTTTCAAATACTCCATTGATTTATGATGGCCCCCAGCCTAGTACCACCCATGCCCTGGTTCACCCTTGTGATGCTGGGGATACCAGCACCCCCAGGACAGACCTGGGATTTACAGTACCAAGGAAACCCAAATGCCAACAATTTAAGTGTCCTGATGCAGGCACCAAAACCTGAAGCAGTTTTAAGGGATTCCCAAATACCCTCCAGATTCCAACCATGATGAAGTAGGTGACTCACTACTGCCTAGAAAGACAGTTCTGACTTACTATGGCAAAGAGCTGCTCCACAGATTACATTTAACCCTCTTACTCTGAAAAACTCCAGCATTCATCTTCTCTCTACACATCTAAAGGGTTCTACTGTAATTTTTGTCACTGACCTTAAGAAATTCAGAGCAAATGTCAACCCTGTGCCTTCTTTAAATAGTTTTAATGAATGGCCTCTGAGATTTCAAACTTCAGAATCTGCCAAGGCCCAAGCAACACTGGTATCAAAGTGGAGTTTCTGTTTCCCAAGGGCAGGTGATTATCGCTAGTGAGATTTTTAAATGGGCTATGGAGACTACTAGAAAATTAAAACTCAAGTTAAAATTACTATTTTTTTTGCTCTCAGCTCACAGAATGACCAAAATACAGAAATGCTTCAGAAATGAGGTACCCATCTGCAGTAAATTACCCACACTGTTTGCCACTGTCAGGCTCTGACCCTGTCTAAGCAATGCTTCAAGCTGAAATTCACACTGGATCCTGACATCTGCTTTCTTGGGTGGGAACACAGTGAGCCAGGGAACGCAGCCATTACTGCTGCTGGTGCCCACATGCTACACGGGCACGCTTTGATTACTCACCAAGCAACACAATGCCGGAACAACCTGTAGATCAGAGCAGGCACGCAGCAGGACAAGAGTGTAATCAGACAGCTCTGTGAAGGAGACATTAATAGGGAAAGATTGTTTCCAGTGAGCAGCATACAAGGCTGGCTGCTGGAGCTCTGCTATCGGGCTCTCCTGCTGAGCAGCAACAGCAGGCTGCATTTCTGAGGCCCACGCAGGTACAGAGCCCTGGGAACAGGAACAAAGAGATTCTACACCAAGGAGAGCTGTGACAAAGTGCTCTGCTGGACACAGGGAAGAGGCTGATCCAGACCTTTCCGGTTTGCTTCCTAGACTGTAGAATCAAAGGGAGTGGGCAGTGGGTGGAAGCAAACCCTGCCCTTGACAGAAAGGTAGTGGTGGGAAGGATCTCCTCCCTGGCATTTTCTTCCTCTCCCCAGGTATTTCTCCAGTGTTTCTGGGAGCCTGCAGGCAGGCATATGATTTATGCTCTGAATGAAACAAGAACCTCTGTTCTCAAAACCTGTTGTAGATGCTGACCTCAGCCAAAACATGATTTGAGAGGAATGATGTAGCTTATTCTGCCCTGGGGAGATGGACTGAATGGTCCCTGTGGTGCCCTTCAACTTCGTAACTGAAATCCGTAAGAGAAGCAACAGGCATAAAACAGCTTTGGATCTTAATCCAGCTGCAGTTATGCCTGGACACGAGAAGCAGGCGTCATGTCCAAAGCCAGGTGATAATTCAGCATGCTCAATTAGCTGCACTCTGCTGTTAATAGCATCTGACAAGCATTACCACACCAGTGGCTGTTTTCTATCTCTTTTCCCTATCTACAAATTAGTTAAGCTTTCCTACCTGTGTACCCTTCATATATGGATGCAAACTGATACTCTGCTGCACGGCGTCACATCTAGAAATGCTGCACTGTACCAATTCTAGCTCATATTGCACTGGATTCCTTTGTTAACCTTAATGTCAGGTAAGCCTTTATGTTTGACAGAGAGGAGAAAAAGCCAGGAAAGAATCTATCTTGGATTCTGCAGGTGACCTGTAATTAACACTGGTGTCAAATAAATGCCATCCTCACCACCTAGTTGGCATTTATATTTAATCTCCTTTTTCAGTGGCTGCAGAATAACTCTTAATTGCAGTGTCTCCATGTTAAATTCATTTTTGCTAAATATAGTTTGGCCCTCAACTGTTACAGAGAAGACACCACCTCATTTGTAATTCTCAGCATTTGGGCAGGAAGAACTCTGGCATGCAGCAAGAACAGAAATTAGCTTCTCAAATGGGAAATGCCCACATTCAGCAGAAACTAGAGTAATCTTGAGGGAATGTGTATTTTACAAGTAAAATCTGCCAGAGATCAAGGGCTGAATTTAATTCACAGCTAGGAATGCCTGGCATCATACAGATCCCAGAAAAAGAACAGAACCAATTACATTTGCTAAGCTCATCAACTGCTCGAAAAGAGCCACATTTTGTGCAGAGGGACTTTCTAGAAGGGATGGAACAAAAAGGGTCTCTTCTTCATTCACAACATACCAGAGATAGCACTGATGAGGAGGTGAACAGCTGAGAGCAGTTCTTCATCTTGAAGCTGATAATTCTGCAACAATAGCTCATCCTGTACACTGCACCCCACCAGCTGGAGGAAGTCAGCCAGGTCCTGCTGCTGTGCAGGTTTTAACTCCTTCAGGTCTGGCTTGTCTCCTGCACACAGAGCATCTAACTGGAAGCCAAAGAAAAAAACACAACTTCTTGAGAAGCTCCAGGGAGACCTCATTATGGCCTTACAAATTTGGAAGGAGAGTACAAACAGGAGGGAGAATGACTGTTTACAAGGGCAGATAGTGATAGGACAAGGGGAAATGGTTTTAAACTGAGACAGGGGAGGTTTAGGTTAGATATTAGGAGGAAGTTTTTCACACAGAGGGTGGTGATGCACTGGAACAGGTTGCCCAAGGAGGCTGTGGATGCCCCATCCCCGGAGGCATTAAAGGCCAGGCTGGATGTGGCTCTGGGCAGCCTGGTCTGGTGGTTGGTGACCCTGCACATAACAGGGGTTTGAAACTGGATGAGCATTGTGGTCCTTTTCAGGCCATTCTATGATTCCATGAAAAGAGAAAAGTTTGAGTGCAAGATAACGCTCGCTCTGTTCTGAAATTACTTTTAGGAAGCAAGGAAAAGTTTCTTTATCTTACCACATCTTCCAGGGCAGTTAATGTTTCTTCATGCAGCAGGAGTTCGCACAGACTTTTATATAAAGCTCTTTGCTTGTCTTCTGGCAACTTCACAAAGGGTTGGAACTGAGCCTTCAGCTGTGACAGACCTTTCCCAAAAAAGCAGTGAAAAATAAAACTAAGTACTGCTACACCAGTGCCAGTAAAAACAGTTAATGTTTTTGCTATGCATTTCATAAGCTAGTTTATCACCGCATCTTGCCACCCTGATTTCAATCAGTGCAAGTTATAATGAAAGGCTGGAACACATCTGAATATATTTCCCTAATCAGCCAACAGAATGGCCACGAAAATTCTGAGGAAAAAAAATACTGCTGCTAAGGATTAACATTCCATACGCTCTGTATTTTGGAAGTCAGTATTTTACTATTAACTGAATTAACCATACATTAAGTGTACAGCCTGGGTGTTCATCTCTAGACAATGTCCATTCTAAGGCAGAATGCAGTGCTCTGCTCATAACCTCACTTTTTGAACTACGGGTTAATGCCAATTACCAGTCAATGCTCTGAGTCCACACACAGAACTGGAGGCTTCTGTTGTGATGCTCAATTGTAAGCATCCTTCTATTTCATCAGAGGGATCCAAGCATTACACACCTTCAGTTCCCAGAATGACCAGTTACGCTTCATGACAAAAATATTTTCTTGATTGAAATACTGAATTCACTACAGTTATAAACAGAAGCGCAAGAGAGTTCAGTGCTTTTCTTTTCCACCATTCAGTTACAACTCTACAACAAAATATCATATGTATGTATCAAAATTAACCTCTTTGGTAAAACAAAAGAAGTTTTCAAGTCAACAGTGTCAACTGGAAGACTGGAACGTGCTCTTTCACATTCCAAAAAATATGGGCATGAAAGCATTCTTAACCTTGTTTAAAGAAGCAAAGAGACTTTGCTTGATGTCTCTCCAGTAAGATGCCTTTTATATCTGAAAATTTCTTTACTAAAAAAAGAGACAACAAAACAGCTCACCCACAGGCAGATTTTTTTTGCATCTGATGCAATACGATGTACTTGGCCCTAACTGTCCATCCAAATAACAGCGTAAGAAATCTGCTTTAAATTGCGCTGGTAGAAATATTTTCTTCTCCATTTTTTACCTAATTCTGGTTAATTAATTAAAGTCTCCAAGTCTTCAAAGAAAGGCAAGAAGATATGTTAAGCTAAAACAAACTGCAACAGTGGCATACTATTTTTTCACAGTTTTTTTTTTCCAAAACACACAGAGATAGTTATTTCTTTATGACAACTCAATAGCAAGTAATAAGAGAACTGTCAGGACAACAGACATCCATTTTGGTAGAAGTCAGTCTGTAGAGAAGTCATGAACAAAGGGTGAAATTCAGAGATAACAAAAGTAACGCTCAGCACCAGAAACAGCTGTAAGAGCTCAACCCAGAACTGATGAAAAGCAAAGTGTGTTCAGAGGCCTTGATTTGTTACCTCTTTTTCCATTCCTGTGCTAACCTCACCCCTCCTGCACCCCTACAAAAAGCACGTTGTGCCTGGCACGTTACATCCATTCACAAACTTCCACTTGTAGCATATTTTAATTTCACCAGCCTTAGTTGTTATGAAACATTCCTTTCAAGCTTGTCAGAAAATAATCACAGAATCACAGATTGCCAGGGTTGGAAGGGACCTCAAGGATCATGAATCTCCAAACCCCTGCCCCATGCAGGGCCACCAACCTCCCCGTTTAATACTAGACCAGGCTGCCCAGGGCCCCATCCAACCTGGCCTTGAACACCTCCAAGGACGGGGCATCCACAACCTCTCTGGGCAGCCTGTTCCAGCACCTCACCACTCTCATAGTAAAGAACTTCCCCCTGACATCCAACCTAAATCTTCCCCCCCTCAGCTTAAAACCATTTCCCCTTGTCCCGCTGTTATCTACCATTTCAAAGAGATGGCTCCCCTCCTGTCTGTAGGCTCCCTTTAGGTCCTGGAAAGAGAATAACTAAAGGAGAAGGAGTGGATGCCTTGGTAATTTTTGAGACTTCAACTGAGGAATATTCAGAGTTTTTTGCAGATCATGAACAAATATTTTCAGTGAACTTTTCTGTATGAAAGCACAAATTATCACTGATTTCATAGAGGTTATGCACAATATAACAGAACTGACATAAATACAATCTTAAAATATTAGGGTTTTATGGCAAAGGGATTCAGTTTGTTGCTAGGGACCAGTTCCCTGCATGTCCCCATTACAGAAGTAAGTCTTTTTGTTCTTCTAACATCATTTCTTATGTACTATGCTACCAGATTATTTCCTTCCATCACATTGCTTAACTCCCTGCAATGTAATCACGTAAAACATTTCTGGTAATACCTTCTTTCAGCACACTTAAAGAAGCGTGGCTGGGAATGGGGCTTTCAGCCCCAGAGTGCATCCCATTATCAACAGCATCTGGGTGATACAGGAACGAAGTGTCTCTGAACAGCACTGAGTGGGGTGACGTCGAACCCTCTGAGCTTTCTCTTTCAAAACCTCCTTGCTGCTCATCTAGCAGACAGAATTCTGAAATCAGAAATACAATTTAAAAAAATGTCACAAAACACACAAGCAATAACTGAACGAGATGCTATCTTACATCATCAAGTGTTCTCACACAATTTCTCCACACATCATCTCTTCTAAATGGAGATAATGCCAGTGGTTGCTTGCTGCGTGCTATTACTGCAGCCCTAATGCACCAGCAAAGGCCCTGTGCTGCAGCCGTCAGCCACAAAATGTGACACCAGTTTCCATGAAGTACTGGAGCCAGCAAGTAACATGCAAACCTCTCATAGACACTGTGAACCCAAGTGCTGCGTGCAAGAGATGCAGATAGGAATTGTTTGTGATTTCTATCAATAAGAGATGCACTAGAATACCATCTACAGAATCCACTCACAACGGAGGCACATGAAAGCACTTCCTGGGATTTAAAACAAGCTCTCAGAGCATCCCTCGCAGAACTTGTTCTGGTCTGGCATTGACAGACACCTCCTTCTGAGTCAAGATACAGATCCACACTCGAGATCTCCAGGCAGGTGAAAATTCATTGGCTCTTCTGGGTCTCTGAAGGACTTCTAGCCACGCTCACTAACCCTTCAATACACTGTCTCTTTTGCAAGAAGATGGAGAAAATAACATACTCTTGGTCTATTCCCCTTTCTGATGCATCTTCATAACATTCTCTTGGGATTCCAAGCACTGCTCTACCTCACCCAAGCAAGACTGCCTATCTCTTACTACTAGACTGCTCTTCACTGCCCCAGCTTTGTGAAGCTGTGGGACTCCTGAAAGGAAAGAGCCTTTGTAGAAGTTTTGCTGAGAAATTTACAGTATCATGTAAATTCTGTGCTCACGTGTCAGACTCTCTGAGTCTTTGGGGCATGACACAAGCAAAGCTCTATGCATTATTTTATGATTTTTTTAGAGGGTTAAATGTAAGATTTTAAACCATAGCCCTGGCACTCCAAAGCAGGCCTAAGGAGAACACAGGCAGGTTACCAAGAGAAAGTCAATTCTGAAGTAGTACCTGACAGCAAAGGGAAAAACGTAACTAATGAAGCACATGCTCACATGTACCGGACACAGAACCTAAATATAACCTTCCCACAGTTGTAACAGCCTGTCTCACCAAATTAAGGACATTGAAAGCAGATGAGAAAGCATGGAGAGCACTCCATCAGCAAAAAGCTTTTTCAAAGGGAGAGCAGACAAAGAAATCTCTGCCGCGGAAAATGAAAGAGACCTTTATGCCTGCATAACCCTTCACAGAGAAGAGCAAGCTACAGAGGAGCAGAAAGTGATTAACCCAAATTAAAGAACTTCCCAAAGCAACAAGACTCAGGACGGTGGCAAAGGCATCACAAGGCCAACATGCTCGTGTAACTTTCATTGATGATGATAAGGCTTTCACATGCACCCTGAAGGAGGAGATAGGGCTAATAAACTACCTGCACTGAAAAAAGAGGAAGACAGTAAAGGAAATAACACGCAGTATCGTGCAAAGTGCACATCTGCTGTAAAATCTTGTAACAGGACTGTTTTGCTTTGTGTTAACAAGACTGTTAATTAATTTTATAACCTATAAATTTTATCAGAGAAGGAAAAAGACATGAAAGAAAGAATACATCTAATACTGTGATACTTTTTTCTGTTGGATTCTATCGCAGACCTCGCTGACAAATCTCCACTGGCAGTTAGATCTTGGCAAAAACATCACCAAAAAATGTAAGAAATACAAAGATGACCAATAAAAATGATTCACTGACAATGCACTGAGATGCTGTAAAGATTAGGACAGTTTAATTCCCAGGCATGTCGTAAGAACATCACAAATATACAACAATGAAGAGAACAACGCTGGCCAGCCAGGTGCCACAGCCTGTTTTGAGAAGGGAGAACAAGAGGGCTTGTGGTAAAATGAAGAGAGAGAGAGAACTGAGCAGCATTTAATGGAAACAGCTATTAGCTCAAGGAGAAAATTAGCCTGCAGAAATCAAATGCACATGGAATGAGTGTAGGAAAACACTGTGGTAAAGAAATTGGAAAGGGATCAGACTTATTTTTTTCCTTTTTCTTTTTATGCTCAAAAACGTCCTGTCACATTAACCAGGGCATTTTTAAGAAAGTTTACACACCAGTAGCACCACACTTCCGTAGCAAATAACTCCAACGCTGTCTGTCAGTGGCAAAGAAAAAGGAACAAGGATAGGTGCACCTTATTCCACAACTAGCTGTGAAGAAAACCCCATTATGTTACACCTGCTATTGGCCACTTCCAATCCCACGAGAAAGGACCGCATCAGTCCCCAGTCTTAACTTCAAAGACAATTGTTATCTCCATAAACAGACACTGACCACTGCTCAGACATTAAGAAGCTGAAGGCTGAGCTCCACCATACTTACTCTTGCTAGAAACCCCCACTTCTGATGTCAGTTCCTCCACTTAACCTTTTCAATGACACAGTACTAATTGAAAAAAGTAAGATGGACATCGTTTGAGAGAAAACATGAAACAAGCTGTGATGTTTCTGAAGCTTGAGATATAACGCTCAATGTGAGGCAAAATGGAAAAAAAAAAACCAGAAGAAAAAAAAGCAGAGAATTTCAGATCATTAACAACACTCACATATTAATTATCAGCTAGAAAGATAAGATTTTCCATCTTGAAATCATGTAAGCAGGCTATCAGCTGTAACTTCATGGTTGCATATCAGCTATCAGCTATACATCCATGCTATCATACAATAGCTTTAATTGCACCTGATTTCAGTGAATTAGAGTTCTGTTATGACCATGAAGTCAATGCCCTCTAGTGTATCTCTGTGTTCACTGTACGGCAGAGCAATTCCACTTTTTTTTTTTTACAGTTATGTGGTACTTACACATATTCCTGAACCTACTTGCTTTCTTAATATCAGAATTCATCTGAAGGAGAATGATGGAGACTATTACGTGCATTTCTTATCCAAATAAAGCGCACCCTAGATTCAAATCTCTCAACTGTACCTCATGTTTCTTTCTACACCACCACTGTTTAACTTCCAGTCCTACTCAGCCCGCCCGACTCCTCTCCTTTTTGCATAACATCCCCTGAAACCTCCTTTAAGTCAGGGAGTTTAACTGAGAACAGGCAAGAAAGACAAATCCAGCTGATACCACAGAGCAGAGTTACCACCTCATCTACTCACCAAACCAATTAAAAAATACATTTAAAATAAGGAACGCACAACCAAAAGAGATAGCAAGAAAATTTCTGCAACCATTCAGTGAACAATCTATATACAAAAGTGTCAACTAGACAAAAAAAAAGTCTGAATTCTAGTAGTAGATTTTATGAGCAATTCTTCTGTTAGTATGACTGCTGTCTACACATTCCTGGTTGACTCTACATTTAGATCAAACCTGGAAGGATTTCCAGGTGCCTTTGCAGCTCTTGAGGTTCCTTGCTTCTGGGCTGCACTAGCAAGAGTGTAGCTAGAGGACTGATCAAAGTGACTCTTCATTTGGCATTTGAGCAACTTCATTTAGAGTGCTGTGTCCAGTACAGGAAAGACATTTGTATGTATACAGAAGTTAAGTATATTAGGTTGTAGATGCCCCACCCCTGAAGGCATTCAAAGCCAGGCTGGATGTGGCTCTGGGCAGCCTGGTCTAGTAGCCAGCAACCCTGCACATAGCATGATCGTTGTGGTCCTTTTCAACCCAGGCCATTCTATGATTCTATGATTAAGTGTAGCAATGCCACCAAGACTGCTGGGAGCTGAAGAACATCATGGATAAGAGGCTGAGAGACTGGATTTGTTCAGCCTCAGGAAAATACAGATAAGGGATGACCTTTCTGCTACCTACAGCAAACAAAGACCGACTATTCCATATGATGACAGGACAAAGATGCAAGAGAGAGAAATTCAACAAATTCTTGTTAGATATTAAGGGGAAATAGGAAGTTCATCCTGATGGTGGTCAGATATGAGAAGAGGCCACCCAGAGGGGCTATAGAATCTCCCTCTGGAGATATTCCAAACTCAAATAGACAAGGACACAAACAATCTGATCTAATACTGAACTTGGATCCTTTAAAGCTGGCCCTACATTGGGGTTGCACTGCCTGTGGTTCCCTGAAACCTAAATTACTTAATGAGCCTGTAATTTAGGTAAACAAACAAAAGAGCATTAGCAGATCAGAAGTGTTGCATTTCAAAGTGGAAGTAACAACCACGGCAGTGGAAGCTATATAATATCATCACCTTTGATTACAGGGGAATGCAAAAACCACTGCTCAACAGTTTTTTTTCCCACAACTCAATGGTGCATCACAGAAAACAAGCTTTTACTTACCAAACTGCCCATCACACTTTATAAACAGTTCAATTACACCATAGGCAATAGTGGTTGCAGGAGGAATCTCGAGAATCACGCTGGAATCCTTCATCATACTTCCACTGTCACTCACTGAAACCTAAAAAACATTAATTGATTATTTCATTCAGCTGTTGTGCAGCTTAAACACAAAAATGAGTACAGAAAAAAAACAGAGAAAGGACATGCTTCATGATGTCTAACCCACAACACACGTCTGACATCTGAAAAAAAAAAAAACAAAAACAAAATGAGCAGCAAGGTAGGAGCACCAAAGTGCCAAGTGCAGGTCTCAAACTTTGCCATTCTGTTCAAAGTTGAGTCCTGGGTGCAGCTTTTGCCATGTGAAGCTCTGTCACCAAAACTGGCATTCTCTTTGGTGTCCTGTCCTACCCTCTCGTATCCTGATATCCCTTTGGCCAACTGGTAAGTGGTGCAGGAAGATGACACTTGTACAGAGTTGCTGAAATGCATTTCCCAAGTGTCTGCCACTCAAGACTCTGTACATAGAAGTGATTTGTCATATCTTATGACTTTGGCAATTTCTTCTCAATTCACAATGTCCTCACTACACAATTAATCTCTACTCCCATGATCAAAAATACAGTAGTTTCCCAAGAAATATTATTAAACTTGCTAACACTGCAAGCATTTCTGATATATCATTCCTTTGCTGTTCAAACGAATTTGCTTCAGTAATGCTTTCTGCTCTTCAACTTTCACTGAATTGTTGGTTTATGTTTTGCTGTAGACAGGATTCTACAGAGAAATCATAAGGTTGTAACATTGATGGAAATGCCATTTCTACACTAAGAGATAACATCTTTTGCCAGTGAGGCAATGAGGAATACATTTTACATTTGTAAAGTTTCACAGCTAAGTAATGTAGTGAGTTCTTGCCATTGACAGAGTTTAAAACGTTACAGAAAAATACTCTGAAATTTATTTGGCACAGAGAAATCAATTGCAACTCGGATAATCTGCAGATTTAATGAGACAAATGTTCTATTCCTTACAGATTTGATACATTTTACCTGCACTATCTTCATACTGCATCCCAGCAAACCGCTGACTTTTTCTTCTGTCTGGACATGTTCAGATATCGTACACCTTTGTGTTGTTATTATCTTCTCCCTCAAGATGCACAGTACTTCACGCTTTCGTTCTATTACTTGTTGCAGTAAACTACTATTTAAATTTATCATTCTGAAACAAAAAAAGACACTATTAACAACAAATACCAGAATGGAGAAAACATGTTCTTTTGTTTCAAGAAGCTTTCATGAAAAAATAACAATGGTTTCTGTTTGAGCAGTCTGCACAAAATAATTATGTCCTCTTTTGTTATTTGTAGCAGCAAGGCTGTAAATGTCAGTACTGTGCAGCAAGCCCTAATATACATATTGAATTCCTGACTTCCTCCTCCAAGGAAAAATGTCATCTGGCTACCTTCTAAGCAATAACCTGATTAAGATATGTCCATTATGTTATACTTTTGCAAAATACCCACCATAAAGGTCCTCACATGAGATGAAGTATTTTCTACGAGCAGAGAACTCCAGCAAGACATCTGGAAGGTCAGAAGATTGCTATCCCTTGCTGAAGTCTTTTTTTTCTCTATTTTACTGAAGTGGCTATTCATGAGGCTACATGGCAATTCCCCAAAAATATGACCGAAAGACTCCACTTTATTTAAATCAAGATATCTCCACTTTTAATTAAAAAGTTTTAGATTTATTACATTCTGGAGTTTGGGATTTACGTGGTCCATAAAAGCCTGAAGTCAGCTTGGCTCTTTATTAAATTAAAAATAGCCTGAGGCAATTTTTGATCTTTGGAGAGTTACATGCTTATATGAAAGTTCAATCAGTTGGAATGAACTGTCTGGAAACCTTAAAGTTGATTGTTTAAACACAGGAAAGAAAATACCTCTGAAGCAATGCAGCAGCCACTAGAAAAGTACCCCCAAACATTCCTCAGATTATTAATAGAACTTCCTTTCTTTTGGTGAAAAGCCATGCTTTATGCTTGGAATGCAATGAATCTTTGGATTAAGAGAAATGGAAGAACTGTCACGCAATCACAAACACTGCCATTCTTAGAAGCGTCTGCCAAAGCGCAGCTATTAATTACATTGTATCTCACAGAACTCCATCAAGCCTATCATATACTTCACAATAATTATTTATGACTCTGAAGAGGTGTGCTAGGCATCCTGAACACATAAATTAAGGTAGAGAGAGCTTGCAATTTTAATATACGACCTAAGAAGCCACAGGTGAAGAAATACAATGAAGAAACAAGTATGAAGGCAATCTCTCACTTGCTTTCATATGATGTATTTTTTACTGCTTTAGAGCATGATAAGCCAAATACTGGAGCAAAAGAATCAAAACATTCAAAGACAGAAAATAAAACAGAAGTTTGCTGTTTCTGAATGAGCATGAAAAAGCAGTGAGGCATTGGAATGGGCTGCCCACGAAAGTGGTGGAGTCAGCGTCCCTGGAGGTGTGCAAGAACAGTGAAGATGAGTACTGAGGTACATGGTCAGTGGGCATGGTGGGGATGTGTTGACAGTTGGATCAGACTACCTTGCAGGTCTTTTCCAACCTTAATGATGCTACGAACCTAGGAGGCATATACAAGCCTGATTTAATCATAACCAAACGAACGACCAAAATAATTTGGAGACTTTTTCTTCCATTACCTCAGTATTCTTTCTGAGGTAAATCTGTCTCAGATCTCCTCACACTCCTGGCTCTGAAGTTCAAGTGAAGAGCCAACAGCAGAGCAGTGACGTGAGTGCCTCAGAAGAGATGGCTCAACTCACAGCGTGGGTCAGTGAAGAAGTTTCTGATTTGCTGCTGGATGAGCCACAGCAACCGCACCGGGCACAGGTCTGGTTCAGTCCCCAGGGCAGCACGCCTCCAGGGACGCTGCCTCAGAGGTGATTCCAGGTCACTCACGTGGAGCTGCATTGCGTGCCACAAGCCACAGTGTCCTGTCCACGTGACTTTAGTGCGATGCATTCAGCTGTAAAGCTGACAGAAATGCCTCTTCCCATTGCATTTTGAGAACACAGGATGGAGAGTTTTAAAACAATACCCTTACAAGCAGTCACATGTTTTCTTTCAAAACTCCTTCCGTGACTTCTGGCACCAAGCTTTCTTCCCTAGATGCACTCAGGCCCCGGTGTTACATGTGAGGGCACATCATGGGTATCACAGCATGGCCTGGGGAAAGGCAGAACACCCTGTTCTCCTCACAGGAAGGCACAGGACAGTGACTCAAACAGGAGACAACATGAGGTAAACAAGTAACTGGCTTATCTAAATTGGTATTGAAAACAGTCACTGAGGGCAAACTGCACCAGGGTTAAAGTTTGACCATAAAAGCAAGGCTGAAAGTATCACAGGGCAATGGCTGCTCCATCTGAATATATTTTTGCAACGGCTGAACTCATTTGCTAGCATAACACTCTGAATATCAAGAAGAGCAAGACGAGTGGGCTAAGTCCGAACACAGGCATGCAGGTGCATGGAAGTGCTTGCTTTCTTTTATTTTGCAGGTCACATTTTGGAGCTCTTATTCCTGCTCTGCGTCATTCTTCCCATCTCTCTGACCGTCTACTGCATAGCAATCCTGTGTGACTTGTACTGCTGCTGAACTCGTTCCCCTCGTGAGAAGCTAAGCTAAGGTACACAAAAGGAAACACTACAATAAAATGAGATGCTGATTTCCTATTATCAACACACACAGTGTAAGTAGGTATAAAAAGACCAATTCAAAAGATAAGGATTATGGGGTTTTTGTTTCATTATTTGTTTTTCTCAAATAACCTTCCTGAGGTCAATGATTTACTATGCCCATCAAACGAGCAGAAAATTTAAGTTCTGGTCTCACTTCACATCTGATTGGATTTAACATTTTCACTAACCTATAATGCAAAGGCTTTTTTCAGTTTTTTTTTTTTTTTTTTTTCCCTTCTTGGATGAGGAAAGGAGCGGAGAAAACTGTCACAAAGGCAATCTGCTGCAAGTGAGGAACAGGAAAGGAGAACACCAGAAACCACAGAAATAAGAAAAAGCAAACAACACCTAGCACCACAGCAGGCTGTCCCACCTTCAGTCTCACACTTCTCAAACTCAGAGCTGAGACCTCATTCTTCCCTCGGGGCACGCATCTCAGACTGGACTAGGCACAGAGAATGTTTGCTAGAACCGTTTCTCCATCAAAACCTATTTAGTTTCCTCAGTAACCTATCCCACAAATCCTCCAAGTAAGGTGTTCACCACCTTGCCCAAACACCACTTCTCCCTTGACACCCACACCACATGGATGTTTTCCCTGCAAAACATCTCTCAGCTGCTTTGCCAGAATTCCTCCCCTTGTTTGGTCTTCCTCACTTCCATCAGCAGTCTGACTTCTTCCACCCAACTGCTGCTTGTTGCAGTGTCAGCCCTTATTCCGCTTTCTTCCTTTCTGGGTAAAGACCTTTAGATCAGTGCCAGAGAGTAAAATCCACCAACGCTTCACTCTGCACATAACACCAAGCAGAGACAGGTATTTCTTTTGTTAATCTGTTTCAGACATCACCTCTCTGACCTACTTTTACTCCTACCAGAACACAGTATTTGCTGTAGTCAGCTTATTGATGGCATTTCACAATTTTTCCTACAGAATAACCTGACAAATACCTTACAGAACAAGTTACCCAAGAATTCCTTAGAGAGTACAAGTGACAGTTTCTGTGATTTCTATTCAGCATCTTCCTTATGTTTTATATAACAGACACACAACTGATTTTATTCAACACTGTCTCATAACCGTGACTTCATACAGCTGATGCAGCACATTAAAGAAAACTGATGCATGGCTCTCTCATCATACTATATATGCTTGAGGAGTTGTTATGAATAAATAACAAAAGGTGTGCATCAGAATGAGACTGCAAGTATGCCTGGACAGGTCAAGTCAGTGAAAACTGGGTGAGAGCGTGACTCTGGGCTGAATTTTTACCATAGTCAGACTGGTATGGTCATTCTGTCTCAGTGTGAACAACAACCGATTGAATCAATGAAAGTACAAATTAAAAGGCAATCTGTGATAGTACAAAAACATTTATTATCAACTGTGCCATATTTTATACTATTTATCCTGTTTTACTAACATGCTAATGAGTGTTAGGAATCATTCACAGGAGATGACAGAAGTGTGAATGGCAAAAAAAGCCTTCTGCATCTGATGTGCACCAAATGCCTGCCATTTGCTGCCACTTCACCCTATTTCTTTCTCTTCTGTCACTGTCCTCCCAAAGCTTGTCTCCATCACCTAACACAACTTCATGAGATGGTAAAAGCAAATGAATGAATGGAATTCTCAGTTAGAGCAGACTGCCCACTGCTCTGTCACCCACACAGTTAAAGCGCGTGCCATGACAGTCGAACAGAGCCTCCTCTGTTCCAACAGTTTATGCCCACTCTCTCTTGTCCTGTCACTGGGCACCACTGAAAGGAGCTTGGCTCCATCTTTACACTCTCCCTTCAAGTATTTGTTCACATGGATGAGAATCCATCCTCAAGTGAGCCTTCTCCAGGATGAGCAGACTCAGGTCTCTCAGCCTTTTTTCAGAGGAGACACACTTCTGTCCCTTCAATATCTTTGTGGCCCTTTGTTGGACTCTTTCCAATACATCCATCTCTCTCTTTAGTGGGCAGACAAGAATGGGACCCAATACTTCAAGTGTGACCTAACACAGTCCCCAACACATACTGGTACATACGAGGTTACTCCCCCCCACGCACAGAACTTTGCACTTCTTGTTGAACTTCACGTGGCTTCCATCAGCCCATTTCTCTATCTTGTCAAGGTCCTTCTAGATGCCATCACAACCCTCTGCTCTATCAGCCACTCCTTGCAACCGGGTGTTGTCAGCAAACTGTCTGTCCTTGTAGCACTGATCACCCTCCTCCAGGACCAACTGTTCAACCAGCCTGCTCATCTACTCATTCTTCACCAGCCTCACTGTGAGGATCTTACGCAAGAAGGTACCGATAGTCTTAAAGAAGATAAAATATACTCTTAAATCCACAGCAATCTCACTAAGTTAAATGCACAAGACTGCCCTAAACTCAGTCTGTATCAGTACTTTGAACTAGAGACAACAAGGTAATACAAATGGAAAGGATAATCCATTACAAAATATATTAAGATCTTATTCCTAATAGAACCCTTTATTTCTGCACTGCATACTGCATTAATACATGCATTCTGCATTCAGAATGTCACTTTGCAAATCAGGTGGGATCTCATCCCACACCCTTCAGCTGTCAGCCCCGCTCTGAAAAGGAGAGCCAATGCAGCATCTAGAATCTAATTAAAGACCAGCAGGTTTCTCCTTTATAGGGTTCACCTGAGAAGCAACAGGAAACTGATTTGCTGCCATTCAGCACTTCAGTTTTCAGAATTTTGAAGGCTCCCATGACTTGGTAGAGAAGCTTTATCAGCATTAACATTTTTTAATGTGTGTTTTCTGCTATTTATATGCAACCTTGACTTAAGTAACCTAACACGAGAACAACAATTTCTACTGTATTTTAATTAGGTTATAGAAATAATAAGGAAAATAATAATTGCTCTAAAAAGCACAAGCAATATACATCATTAGATGAAATCAAGAACACTTAACTGACTCTCATCCCACAAGGACTGACTGGTAAACATAAGTACCATAATGCTTTGCATCCAAAAATCACTTGCTTCCAAGCACCACCATTCCCAAATACTGAATTCTGCAGCATGATCCACAGAGATGACAAAAGCCAGAAGCCATGGACAAGATGTCTCATAAATCATAGAATATGTTTTTTGTAAGGAAATGACACAATTTCCAGTGGGAAATGTTATGCAGAAGCTGGGCTTACTGGATATCAATTATACAATTGGTATTGTAAATTAGAAACAAGCTGTGAGCATAGAACTCGCTGTGTGAACTAAGGAACTGCTCCTTGTACAGAGATGCACACACTGAACTGCGTTGTTTCACTGCCACAGCCACTAAGCACCCCAGTGGGATTGTGTACGTGCCCACCTTCCTCATAATAAGCCAGCATCTCAATGCGTTTCCAACTCCAGCATACAAACAAACTGCAGATCTCTTCCAAGTCCTTACACAAACAAGTAACAAGATTCTAAGTCCTGGCTGATGGTATTTTTTTGATAGTAGATGCATACTAATTTTAGAGGCCTGGTACATTATACACACTTAGCCCAGATGTTTTTTGCTTTTAATAAGGCATTTTGTACAAAGATAGCAAGGTGCCTTTTTAAAACAAGTTGGGTGACTTGAGAATGCTAAAGAGAGAAGGAATATCTGGCTCTCATTTCTGTGAGAGCAGGAAATTGAATGTTTCTAGAACATCAGTGGTACTAAAGAAAATTACACTGCTTGGAATAACTTTTGTGCTGACATCAAAAAGTCATCCTCCACATCTTCAGAGAATCAAAGGCTATCAAAATGTGTTACACCACCTCCTGCAGACAATGCTGTACAACGTTGCAACAAACAAACCACCTTCAACTCCCCTAAGGCAGAACTCCACCACAGAGCAAAGGACCTCTGGCTTCTCAGCTGCATGCCAGGTAGGCTTCTGCCCATGACTTATTGCAAAGGCAATCAGATTCCAGAGGAGCACACAAAGTGTTGCATGTTTTCTAAAATTAAAATTATCATTTGGAATATCTGTTCTTTTCCTCTGTTGTTGTAGTGTAAAGCAGTGATCAATAGTTCTCTGAACTGTATTTTGTCCAATAACTAGAATGTACACTGATCACACCTACTACTTTTCCTCTTAAAGTTCTCTACAAAAATATATTACAATTCTAAAGCTTCCTTACAAGAATACTGGCAGTTCTGAACTCAGTTTCCACACCATTTATCTCACTAACATCCTGGAGTCAAACCACTTTTTTCCTCCTTCAATAGAGTCCCCCAAAGCAGGGAGGACTTCACCCTTGTTTCACCTTGTAATTTATGCCAACATGCAAGGTGAAACTGCAGAGAGATGTTTATAAAATGAAAAGGAAAGATTTGACCACCAAGATTTCAAAATCTGGAAACTTTCCTTAGTGTGTTGCATTTTTCACCTACAAATGAGAGTTTACAATGAAAATAATTCTTGAAATATGCCAATGCTACAGATTCAGCTGTTCAGTGATCACAGCTGACACAAGTACTTTATCTAATCTTTTTCATCTCAGTCATCTTTCTTGGCCGTTGCAATGCCCACATTTAAAACATACCTGTCCTTGACGTCTTTCATAAGCTGCTGCAAGTCAACCTCTTGTTTCCTCAGGTTCCCAAAGGAGGACTGGCTTTCCACACAGCCCTTTGCTCCGGCTCCCAGGCTGATCTTTCCAAATGAAGTTTCAATACCTCCTTGGACAACATCTTCAAATTTCCCCATATATTTTGCAAAGTCAGATTCCACAATTACTAGGAAAACAATAAAAGTAACTGCTTACCACTAAGACAAGCGCTAAAACAGTCCTAAAGTCAGCAGATAAACAAAAAGTTAGAGAAAACAAAGATTTAATGTCAGTGAAGGCAAGAACAGCAATGAGCAAACAAACGGGTAAGTTCACAGCTCTGCAACTTCTGCTTCACAGAATCACAGAATGGTCAGGGTTGGAAGGGACCTCAAGGATCATGAATCTCCAACCCCCCTGCCACATGCAGGGCCACCAACCTCCACGTTTAATGCTAAACCAGGCTGCCCAGGGCCCCATCCAACCTGGCCTTGAACACCTCCAAGGACGGGGCTTCCACAACCTCTCTGGGCAGCCTGTTCCAGCACCTCACCACTCTCTGGGTAAAGAATTTCCCCCTGATGTCTGACCTAAATCTCCACTCCCTCAACTTAAAACCATTTTCCCTTGTCCTGCTGTTATCTACCCTTTCAAAGAGTTGATTCCCCTCCTGTTTGTAGGCTCCCTTTAGGTACTGAAAGGCTGCAATGAGGTCACCCCGCAGCCTTCTTTTCTCCAGGCTGAACAAGCCCAGCTCCCTCAGCCTGTCCTCATAGGGGAGGTGCTCCAGTCCCAGATCATGCTAGTGGCTTCCTCTGTGTTTTCATCTTTGATTAGCTATCTTTTATGTTCTGCCATTTTAGGAAAACATCTGAGGAGTCAAATACTGAACTCAAACACTAAAAAGCACTAACAAGACTTACAAAGCACGACAAATTTACTTCAGCTACAAGGAAAAACTGAAGTATACCTGCTTGTGCAACAGACTTAATGTTCTGCCATTATCTCTATACATCTCATAACAAGCCTGTCCCAAAGCTCACTGAAAATCAATGGAAATTCTGAATTGGCTTAAATCAAAATCTGAGTCTCAAAATCAAAGGACAAAAAAAAAAAAAAAAAATCAAGGGCAGTCTCAGAATCAGCTAATTTTCCACGTTAGTCACAATTAACATCTATGCTGAAGGACTTGTTGTTTATCTACCTTCAGAATCATGACATGCCCAGAAATATGGAATTCCAGATCATAGCTCCTACTAGCTGGTGAGTCTGGTGCAGCTGGATGGTGAAATAAGTACAAGGATCAAATATTTTTAACAGTCTCCACAAGAAGAAAGGAAACCACAATAAAACTTGTAAGCATTCTCTGGACTACTATCACCAGCCTTTGTCCAGTGCTTTTTCACCTGGAGCACAGTACAGTTTCACGCCATTATCGTGTACCAGAAACTTCCCAAAATAACCCAGGGGAATTCCTGAGGCTGCAGAGAGCAGTGTTACAAATACCAACACTGTATGGCTTGACAACCTGCAGCACCTGGTTGCAGTAGCCCATCTAGATTTTTTTTAAAATTAAATATTTAATAGTACTGTTCTTAGCTAAACAAATAGCCAAGGGAGAAAAAGATCCAGTCATCTCAGTTCTAAAGATAGAGAATAATTCAGAGCAAAGAAGCCCTCTAGTAACAGGACTGGGAATAACAAGGAAAAAAGTTAGGCTTTGTATTCTTTTCATGTGCAATAATAGTGCTGCCTGAGTACAGCTTTACCTGGTTTTATAGGTTTGTCTTCAGTAAGCACATCACTCAACGAGACTGTCAAGAAATGATACTTGGGCTTCTGCCAGCACCAGAATTTCTTCCTCTTTGTAACTAAGCTCAGAAGCTGCAGCTTGTCTGAGGCATTCAAATGGGAAACAGGGATCAAGTCACCTCCGCTGTCCGTTTCTCTCACAAAATTCCGTGTTGCTTTTGCAAACATCTTGGTGAATCATTTACAGCCTGGAAGAATAAATCTGTTTTTCAAAACTACAGTTAGAAGATACAAATATTTACATTTGCACTTTAAGGAGCTCTTCACATTACTGGTATCAATATAGGAATACTGTTCTCACTCCACCTTCTCCACTCTAAACTGGGAATTGTGACAGTTACTATCATTTCCCCCAAAAGGTTTTCACAGTAACAGATGACGGAATTTTGGATAAAAACTTAAATAAGCAACAGTGAATAAGTAAAGAACAGTGCACTGCAAGCATGATATAGAAGACTTAACCACTACAGTAATCCTGAAATTCATAAGCACACAAATAATGAAGAAATATATAAGAAAAGAAGCAACCCAATTTAAAACTGAAAAAATCCTTTAAAGAACACCCACAAGTAATTAATCTGCTAGGGAGGAAAAAAACTTACACAACTTACCTGAAGTTCTAAGAAAAAGCATCTCCTAATGAGCAGCCTGCAGAGACTCACCTGGCTCACAGGAACACAGGTGCAGTGGCAGAGCACTCCTGCCTCTCCACAGACTTCTTTTATGACCTACCATAAAATCACCTTACTCCACAGAAGATAACTGAGTATTATTCATACTGATTACCTTGTTTTAACAGTCCATAAATACATACAGGGATAATAGAAATTATTTCATAGTAAGCAACAAATATTTCTACTGGCAGCTCTGTGACTAAATTTTCCTTCTGAACTTCACCCACAGAAATTCCCAATTCATATTTTCTTCTTTTGAACTTTTTTTTTTTTTAACCTTCAGTGCTTTCCAATTTTCTATTTCCCATTAGCAGAAATGCAGCTAAACAGAACATACATTGTTTGCAAATGTTACTTACATCTGCTAAACAGCTACATAGATTATCTTATTCTAGCTTTTAAGTGTCTTAAAGTTGAAAATACTGCCATCTTCTCTCATGTAAGGTTTCCTTTATCCCACACGATATTGTGCTATTTACAAGAAAGTTTTTCAATACAAGAAACTGGCTAAAGGCATGGGAGAACAGATAAAAAAGACCACTCAGAAGTGCTAACCATTCAATTCTAAAAATCTACATTTTCAACCTTACAAGAATTTTTCTTTCAGTTGTTTTATTTGATCTGCTGGCATTTCCACTTTCATTTTTCCAGTTGGCAGCATTCCTTTGTACCCTCCTCCAGCTGACAGGCATAAACTGCCCCAGGTGCCCATTTATCTTCTTTGAAATAGCGTGCACACACATTCTCCATTAATCACCTATCCTGCTCAAACAGATGTTGGATTTGTCCATCACCAACACAGGCCAGAATAAGCTAAGGCAGGCTTCAAAGGAATGAACAGGAAAAGATATTGTAGTTGACACTTAAGGCTGTGGGAAAATGGAAAAGTGAGTAAAGATATTACAGGCTAGACTATAGGGTTCATGTTTTACTATCAGCTGGGGGAAAGAAGAAAACCACTCTTTGTAGATAGAAACACAGCTTTCCATTAGCTTTTCCCAAATACCATTTCAGATAATATTTCATTCAGTATTTACCAACTCGCATTGAGATAGCTACCTTCCTATGAAATCTCCATGGCCTACTCTTAGTTCTCCCCATAAACAAGCAAAGAGCATTACTCAACAGCACCTGCAGTGAAAAGATTTGAAGAATGTCATTCTATGTTTCCAACACTTTGCTGAAGTGTAATCTGGGGCTGCAACAAACCTGAAGCTACGCTGGGAATAAATCCACTGACTTCCAGTGCATTAGCTGCTGTCACCCAGCATAACCTCCTTCAAACATTACTATGCTTTATGTGATTGCTAACTCGTTCTGATCCCATTCTCACACAATGGACTCACGTTTGTATTCTCTTAATTGAAAAAGGCCCACCAATTTCTAAGGAGCTCACGAGAAGAGAAATTGCAACAGAAAGTTCTTACGATTTGTCTTTCTGTTACACTCTCACTAAATTTCATGAGAAGAACCAATAACACCATTCTATAAAACTCCATTCTGGTTCATGGTGGTTTGACTTCGCTCCCAGCAATGAGGCTTCTGATATGCAAAAAGAACATCTAGGAAAGATCACAGAGAGCTTATGAAAACTGCAGGGACTCACACTGCAGGAAAGATTCAGCCTTCAGCCACAGGCGTTGGTGACAACATTAACACCTCCTATCATGGGAACATCTTTGCAAGGAGCTTATTTACTGGTGCAGCAGTACCTGCAAAGTATTAATATTCTACCCAAATTATCTCTTTGTGCATAGTACCTTTAACATAAACTCTCCAATGCATTCCACTATCTTGTTCCACTAGCTCATAAAAGGACAGAGAGACAGTGGTAATTCCCCATGGTCAACATCAGCAAGATAATACAGGACTGAGGGTGTCCTGACCATATGGTCACAGATGTAGCACTAAGATAACTCTCCTCTTGGAATTCCTTGCTCTGAAGTTTTGTTGTACCACGTTTGACTTGCCAGAACTAGAAGGACAGGTACAAAAGCTGGTAGAAAAGGCCTGAATTCACTCCTGCAGATTGACAGCTAGGTGTGAAGGCGGGAAAGGAAGGAGTAGGCTCCTTGCCCACTGAGAAATTTAAAATTAGCCTGAACCTGGGCTACAGGCAGATTATTCAATGAAGAGGATGAGATCAAGCAAAGATATTTACAGTAACTTCATCACTTATTGCAACTGTAAGGGAGTGCGTTGGAAGGCTGACATCTGCAGACTGCAGACTGCCACGCAGAGGACTTCAGCTGACCGTGTGCCATCCTTCACATCCTCAAGAACCGCAGAATCATGGAATTGTGCGAGTTGGAAAGGCCCTTTAAAGGCCATCTGGTCCACCTCCTTTGCAACTAACACACAGCCCCATCAGCCAGGACTCGTGCTGAAAGAAGCCTAAAGTGAGCAAGTGATGACAAGCAGTGCATGGGTCGTATTACAAAGCCTTGTTTTCTTCTCCTTTCTAGATAATTCAAACAAAAAGCCATAAAATCCCAAAGATTTTCAATCCCTGATCGAGCGGTACCAGCCCGGACCTGACCCGAGACCAGACGAGGTGCCGGCCACGAGGAGCGGGTGCTGAGGCAGCTCGAGCCAAGCGCCAGGCTTCTCCTCAAACACCACCCATGAACTGCGGCGATTCATCATTTTATGCGAGGGTTTTGGTGTTTTTTTCCCCCGCAAAGAAGCCGGACAGCACACGAGCAGACAGAGACAGCCGCGGGCCTGAGGGCTCACAGCGGGCTGTGCGCGCCCCGCCCTCCCGGCGGCGAGCAGGGCTCAGCGGGGGCACCGCCCGCCTTACCGCCCCCCCGCGTCCGTCCCCGTACTCACGGCCGCTCCGGCGAACCCCGAAGATGTGCTCCGCGCCCTAAGGCGAAGCTCCGCCAAGAGCCTGGAGGAGCGCCGAGAGGAGGGGGCTTCGGGCCAGCAATGAGGCGCGGCAGGGCCGGGCAGCAGCGCGGGGGCAGGCGGGGGAAGCAAGGCCCCGCCCGGCGTGCGGAGGGGGCGCGGGGCCTCGCGGCGCCGCCATGTTGTCGCCCAGCACGTGGCTGCTGGATGCTGCTGTTGTCCAGAACAAAATGCCATAGGGATTGCAGTAGCACCCATTCAGTGAGACCTTTGTGAGTCTACAGAAATACCGAGTAGTTCTTGAAGGTATCGAAGAAGTATTTTTGAGTGAGCCGTGCTATGAGCTGGGTCCTTATGTTCCCATTTAAAGAAAGCATTTGGGTGAGCAGCCACAAGTGTTTAATCACCAGATCTTAACGGAGTAAAGCCTGGCTGGTCTTTGGAAGGAGAGGAGTTTGAAAGGTGGATGTCTTGAAATGAGCACTCCTGGTGTGTACTGTGCTCAGTGTTCATAGCTGAAGTCACACTCATTTCTTCCTCTGTGTTAACTACATACCTTATCCAAACCTTCCAATTAGCTTCAGTGGGTTTTAACCTATAAACCCTTTCCGATTCCCATAAATGACATCGTACCCAGACTCTAACGACCTTATTTTCTCCAGGAAATATTCCTTTCTTCTCTTCGAAGGAGGGGCAGTAGAGCTGTGAAAAGTCTAGAGCACAAGTCTAATGGGGAGCAGCTGTGTCTGCATATGTGACAATTTACTTTCTCTGAAAAGGAAAACTCTGCTTCTTCAGTCTCATACTGAGAAAAGCACCTACAAGTCCTCAGGAGATCTCTTTTTAGGGTCAGCACCTAGCTGCAGAATTACTAGCTCCAGGCATAATCTCTAGTGGCCAATAGCAGCACGTTTCATTAGCAGTCATGTGCTTTTCTAAGGAGTGGCGGCATGTGATTCATTTCCAATGCAAGTGTCTGCTCAAGCAGATTTTGAGAAATCAGGCCAGGAAGTGACAATGAAACACATTACCATGGAAATGTTCACTAGGGAGGAAGGAGGCAAAAACAGTGAAACTTGCCAGTCAGCTCAAGGAAGTTACTGGTGGTTAAGTGTGCACAAACTAAGGGGTTTCTGCACCAAGGATATTTCCACATTTTCAAGAGAAAACATCAAACAGACATCTTTTATCCACTTAACACACAAGCCAGCATACAGTAGTTTTAAGCTGACTTGCATTAATTAGAAGAGACAGAAACAGGTCTGGACACTAACAGTTTTGAGGCCGTGCAGCAATTAACGTAAAGGCTTCAAACATTGATATTGAAACTGGCTGCAAGTGGGAGACATTTAGGATTGAATACCTGCCTTGATCTTCCATTATTCATTTCCATGAATAATGAAGGATGAAAGTGATGAGAATCTGGACATAAGCCAGTAGTGTGCGCTTGGAGCCCAGAAGGCCAACTGTATCTTGGGCTGCATTAAAAAAGGGGTGGCCAGCACGGAGAGGGAGTTGATTGTCCCCATCTACTCAGCTCATGTGAGGCCCCATCTGAGACACTGCGTCCAGGCATGGGGCTGTCAGTGCAGGAAGGATGTTGGAGCTCCTGGAATGGGTCCAGAGGAGGGCACTAAGATGATCAGAGGGCTGGAGCGCTTCTCCTATGACAAAAGGTTGAGGGAACTGGGCTTGTTTAGTTTGGAGAAGAGAAGGCTTTGGGGAGACCTCATTGTGGCCTTGCATTCCTAGAAGGGAGTGTATAAACAGGAAGGGGAACAGCTGATACATGCCTGATAGTGACAGGAAAAGGGGCAATGGTTTTAAACTTAAGAGGAGGAAGTTTTTCACACAGAGGGTGGTGATGTACTGGAAAAAGTTGCCCAAGGAGGCTGTGGATGTCCCATCCCTGGAGGCATTCAAGGCCAGGCTGGATGTGGCTCTGGGCGGCCTGGTCTGGTGGTTGGTCACCCTGCTTATGGCAGGGGGGTTTGAAACTAGATGATATTTGAGGTCCTTTTCAACCCAGGCCATTCTGTGATGATTCTGTGATGAGATTCTTCAGATGTGTAGCACAGCCAAAACTCACAGCATATAGCTTTGTCCTGACTGACTGGGGAGCCAGCAGTGAGAACACAGTATGGGAAATGTATGTGGTGTGTTCTGTGTTAAGATCTGTCATGTGCTGAATCTCTGGAGCTGAGACATGATGTGCATCAGTTACATGTTGGAAGATTCTTTTGCATTGGCACTGTATTAGAAGATCTTTATGTAGAATGGACAGAAGGAGAAAAACAGAAAGTTTTGTTTGTGTGACAAACTGCCTTTGGCACTGCACAAGATTTGGCTATCTTATTTAAGTAGAGTGGGACAGGCAATTGACACATAAACTTCACAGCCTCAATTTAAAAAAGGAGTAATACACATCACCTGTGAGTAATTACCCATGTAGAATGGCTTAGATTGAAAAGATTTTGTTGTACTAAGGGACGTGGTTTAGTGGGATAGGTGAATGGTTGGACTGGGCCATCTTGGAGGTCTTTTCCAACCTTGGCGATTCTATGATGATATGATATCATATAGTTTTTACCCCCCTGCTGTGGTGTCAGGTTTTGCACTCTCTAGATCAGGCTGCCAAAGACCCCATCCAACCAGGCCTTGAATGCCTCCAGGGACAGTGCTGCCATAACCTATCTTAGCAACATCTTTTGATGCTGTTGCTCCTACACAGAATGCCACCAGATTGATCAGGCACATTCCATATTTTGGAAACTGTGCAGAAAATTGCCTGCCTTTGGTTAATGCACAACAATCTACTAATGCAATATGTTGCAGACCCAGAAAGGTTACGTGATTTAATTAGGGGATTGTTGTGCACTCTCTGACCAAGACAGAGGGGAGCTCCTCTTGATACAAGATGGGGAGAAGTAGTGCAAGAGTTAGTTAATTATGGGAGACTCATGGGATTTGCTAGCCAGGAGGAAACAAAATTAGGATGGAGGCCAGAGGGAAATGGGAAGATGAAAATAATAATTCTGAATAGTTTTTTACGACCTCACCGCTAGGGGAAGCCAGCATGACCTCCTGGTAATAAGAGAGAGAGAGAAGGCATTTGTGAAAAAATTCCTTGGAAGGTTAATGGATGGTTTACTCTTTACCGCTCTAGAAAAACTGATAACTAGCTGGGGCAAGATAAAAGGGGATTATCTCCCCAAAACACAGCTTAGTTTGAAAGGAAACAAACTAACAAACAAAAGAAGCAAACAGTAGTTGTGTGCTCTTACTATACTTCTGTGAAATTCCTCAGTCATTATTATTAAGAATCATAGAATCATAGAATCATAGAATCACCAAGGTTGGAAAAGACCTAAAAGATCATCCAGTCCAACCGTTCACCTATTCCCAATAGCTCCCACTAAACCATGTCCCTCAACACAACATCCAGCCTTTAGAAATCTTTTTGAAGAAAAGAAATCATTGAGCACCACCAGATGTCAGCATTGCAGAATGGTTATTTCTACCCAGTACAGAAGAGGTCTTTGTATCCTATGAATATTATATATTAGATTTTTTTTTCTATGATAGCATAATCTGTCATATATTTTCCAGTCATTAATATTAGGATAGAGTGTAAAACCAAAATTGTCCACAAAGGGGAATTTCCTAATGGTTATTTTTTGTCTTATATCTTCAAAATTTTTTAAAATGCTTTCATGAGGGCAGCATCAACAACTGTACTAATGGTATATAATGCCTCATAGCAGTCACAGTGTTGTTTCAGGCTGCAGGCAGCCCAGCTAGAGAGTGCTCACTTAAGTCAAGCCTGTACATCAGAATATCAGAAGTGGTTCAGAGCTCTCTGTTGCTGTATGCTAGGCTTTATTTAAACCCTCATGCTGGCTGCAGAAGGGTCTGCTGGCTTCAGTTCTGTGGAGGAAATGCAGAGAAGTAAGTGTGAAACTATTTTGGGCTTCCATTAAGGGAAAAAAAAAAAAGGACAGCTGGTGAAGCAAATTCTTTTGAAGGTGTCCAGCAGCGTAAGCCAAATCACCATTGAAAGGGTGAAAGTCTTCCCCCCGTTTCCTGTTGCAAGAATACAAGATCTGAACAGATTTTTTGTTTCTTTGAAATCAACCAACCAGCCTCATTTATATCGTTCATTAAGATCCATCTCATTTTTTGTTGGGATGTTATACAGTCTTCATTGGTGCCAGTCGGTCCCAAGAAACATTTCCTGGTGCAAACAACAGCTTTCTCACTCTCCTGCTGGCACAGCTGTCACCAGCCCCTTGGCAAAGCACCAGCAGCCAGGGACAGGCTTCACAAACAGCAAGTTATTTAGGATCCTGCTTAATGGAGGTCAGTTTGCACAGTCAGTCGGAAGGGACTGTGTCAATCTGGAGTAGCCACAAAGCCATTTTGCTGCATTTCTCCATGTGTTTCTGTGAGCTGCTGCCCATGAAGCTCTTGAAGAAGGAAACAGGAAGGCACTAACTTTAAGCATTGGAGATTTTCCCCATGAGATGAGTTTGGCCACTGTTTAGAGGTGATCTGTTCTATTGTCAGGTTATCTCCATTGCTTTTGTGTATCAGAGTGAAGAAAAAAAAGGTGTCCAGTAATGGATCTTTTAGTCCCATGAAAGGAAACTGAGGAGTACCATGCTGACAGCTGCAGAAATGTGACAGACAGACATGTTCAGTGTAACTCAGTGTATTGCCCATGCTGAAACTCAGGTCATGGTGTCAGTGTTGATGTGCATGGGAGATGGGAGACATGACACTGTTTACCTTCCTGTAGAGAATATCCTCTGGCAATAGGGCTCACCTTTCTTGCTGTAAAAGCTTTCTCGTCTCTGCCGTGACTGTGTTTTAAAGTAGCTGTAACTTTAAACATCTTCCTATGAAGAATTTGTGACTATTTGATGATTTTCCCATGATTTTAAGAAAAATGGCAGAAAAGGTAGGCTACGATCGTTGTGGTTACTTGAAAAATCATCTAGTGACGTCTGTAACAATAATAGGGAAGGCAGTTTGCATGAAGATGCACAAAGTGGTTCTAACTTTAAAATGTAGATTAGATGACGGC